AGGTGGAAATTACTAGAAATCCGTGTAAAAAAAATCCCAGCCTTCACAGGGGCTTGAACCCGGGACCTCTAGCACTCAAGGCGGACACCATGCCCCAAGACCTCTAATTTATCTTATCCTTCATTGTGTCTCTCCCCTTTCTTTGGGCAGCATCCGCCTTAATCTTTGCTTTTAGTGTACATCTATCCATCCATTTGTCAGTCTATCTATCTATCTATCTATCTATCTATCTATCTATCTATCTATCTATCTATCTATCTATCTATCTATCTATCTATCTATCTATCTATCTATCTATCTATCTATCTATCTATATGTCTGTCTGTCTGTCTACCTCTCTGTCCGTCTGCCTGCTTGTCTGTCTGTGCTAAATGGTCACAAATATAGGCACTCTTCCGAATACCAGTCCCAAATTACTTACTGTCCAAAACATCCCTTTTAGAGCCTCAAGGGGTTCGAGGGGTTATAAAGAGGTTATACAAAATATGGAACACGAACAACAAAATATGGAACAATACATACCAATAATGCCGTGAAATACTAATTGAGGCCATTAACATCAGTGGGCTTATGCGCAATGTTTAAAGTTAAGCGCCGTGGGGAGAAATAGTTTTCGTTCCACTGAAGTGACTTGGGGAGGAATTATTTTCGTGTTTAGATCATCATCATCAGTTTTCACTACTGCCGTTAAGCGCCGTTAAATAATAATTGAGGCTATCATCATCATCAGTTTCCACTTCTGCGCAATGTTGAAAGTTAAGCGCAGTGGGGAGAAATAGTTTTCGATCAACTGAAGCGCCGTGGGGAGGGGGGGGGGGGATTATTTTCGATCCATTGAAGCGCTGTGTCGCTGGGTAGCAATGTTTAGATCATCATCATCATCAGTTTTCACTTCTGCCGTTGAGCGCCGTGAAATAATAATTTAGGCTATCATCATCATCAGTTTCCACTTCTCTGCAATGCTAAAAGTTAAGCGGCATGGGGAGAAATAGTTTTCGATCCACTGAAGCGCCGTGGAGCTTCTGCGCAATGTTGAAAGTTAAGCGTCGTGGGGAGAAATAGTTTTCGATCAACTGAAGCGCAGTGAAGAGGAATTTTTTTTTGATCCATTGAAGCGCTGTGTCTATGGGTAGCAATGTTTAGAATCATCATCATCATCAGTTTTCACTTCTGCCGTTAAGCGCAAGTGCACAAATTCGTAAGGAGGCGATAAGCAATTATCCACGCAAGTGCACAAATTCGTAAGGAGGCGATAAGCAATTATCCACGCAAGTGCACAAATTCGTAAGGAGGCGATAAGCAACTATCCACGCAAGTGCACAAATTCGCAAAGAGCCTGTGACGAGGTGCATTCGGTGAGTACAGAATTCCTTCTAAAAGCAAAAAAAAAAGTACACTAACTCAACAGAAACCTTTACAAAGTGAAACACAATGAGGTAACTGAACAGCTAACCCAGGCTATCTTCCTAGCAGCGATCAAAGTGTCTGACGAACCAATAGTTTATCTCAGTGGAATTTAACGTTAGCTTAACAGCTGGACCAGGGAACGCATCTACGTTTGAAAAATTATGCAATCTTCCAGTCGGGCGGACAGAAGACATGACCATCTGAACTTGCGGACAGGCGGGTGGCTAATTACCACGGGTTAGAGTTGAGACGTAGCGGGCATTCTCAGACCAGCTGACAACTTTGGAGTCCAGGGTTAAAACAGGATAGCGGGTCAAGTTGTCTAAGCAGGCGAATTTCACACATAAATGTGATACACTGAACCTAACTAGTGATGTTATAATTAAAGGTGACAGGTTCAATTCCCGGCACGGTAACTATAGCGTTCGATTTGTATGTTGTCCAGTGTGTTCTTCTATCTTTCTAATTATTTCTATGAGTGCTGATCAATACACTTTCTGTAACTTGATTAATGCATAATATTTAACGGCCTCAAAGGTTCCCCCTCTGTTTATTTATAGGAATATTGTTATAATTAAAGCAAACTCGTAATCACAAGGGTGGAACTTGGACCCCTTTACAGGCGTACTAGGGAAGCAGACACAGGAAGAAGGAAGCAGCTGTTGTGTGGCGGCTAGACGCTTGCCTGTGGGTCCGAAGGTCGTGGGTTCAAAGCAAGTGGACGTCTTTTTCTTTTCTTTTTTAATTACCTTGATTTGCAGTTGTCTTAGTCTTAAATGGGTACCTTGTAAATCTCTACGAAGTGAAGGCGGCCGGCTAGATGTTGACCACATCGCCCACTGAGTGCCGATTGGTCTATAAAATATAGGTCTAGCTCTATATATCTAATATGTCCGAGGGCATGGGAAATTGACTTTTATAGGTGAAGAAAAAAAGATAATTGACTGAAATGGACCGTATTATTTTTGGACGAATCAGTAAGAGTTTTCTTCGTCAATTGTAGGACTGCTATAAACCATTGTTGCCACTTTGAATCTTTTATATCCAAATTTAGCTCTTTTTCATTGCATTTAGATACTGTTTTTGACGTTTAGATCGTAAACATTTTTCTAGATCTTTTCATAGTAGCTAGATATTTTATGGATTTTTTTTCTTTCATTGTCAATTTAATAATTACTGTGTAAAATATTTACTACAATATTTTTGTTTTGGTCTGCGCGTACATTGTGACAACTGCCATTACTTGAACTTTGAACTCTCTCTCTGGGGTCAACGCACAGATATCTGGCAGCCCCCGTACTGATTAATAAAAACGCGCGTAAATCATACTAACTTTGTTTTAACCGTATCCTCACTGTGCTGACTTTGCGTTTCTTTTTTATGTGATTTTAAAAAAATAATTGCTCACCTTCTTATGTGGCTTTCACTTTGAAAAAACCTTTCAACATGCCAAAAGTAAAGTATGAGCAAAAAATTTGGAAAGAGTCGTTGCATGATGACAAAATTAAAAACTGGGGATATGACCAAAGCTTGTTGTAAGTAGTAAAGTACTGCAAGTCTGAAATTAAAGCGAAAATACAAAACTCAGAGAGTAATGCAAAGACTAAAAAAGCATAAAACTGCAGTTTCATTTAAAGATTTTACACCGCTGACATCTGTTTTCAGAACTATACTGATAAATGAATCATCAAAAGTTGAAGTATCAGTCGCAATGTTTTCAATTTGTCACTGCGCAATTTCAAACTGTCACCATTTGATCAATTCTTAAAAAAATCTTGGACTAGTTCAATTTTAAAAGTGTGATGTAGAAAGTATAGTTTAGGAACTGAAGGACCTTTTAATCAGCAAACAGTTAGGCTTGAAGAATTTGGCTGCAATTGGTACTGATAATGCCTCAGTGATGGTTGGTATAAACAATGGCGTTTATGCCAAGTTGAAGGAAGCTAACCCATCGTTAATACTTATAAAATGTATGCGTCATTCATTGCAGCTAGCATAATCACATGCTTCATCTAAATATTTACCAAGGAATTAAGAATACCTTATTGCTGAAACATTTTACTGGTTTTACAAATCATTTGTCAGACAACAGCAATACAATACATTATATACAGCCTTGAATGATGGTTCCACACCACCGAAAATTCTGTCAGATTGCAAAACTAGATGGTTATCAATTTAACCAGCTGTTGGAGGACTTATGAAGCAATGTCTGAAGTTGAAGACACACGTTGAAATAACAAGACAAAGTGAAAAGTGCTACACAGCTGAAATACTATATGGAATATACAGTGATGAAAAACATTTGTCATTCATTCTCTTTTTATAACCTATTATAATGGAAGTGCAAAAAGATAATAAACTGTTCGAATCTAAACTTGTTAATAAAGTTGAATTACTTGATGACCTCACCTTGCTATTTCACTCGGTAAAAAACTGGTGTTGCCAACTTCTAAAGCTGATTTGCTCACTTGCACTATAGAGAGCTATTTGGCTCCTAAGCCACACCTTGGATTTTAAATCGAATCAAAAATTGATGGTTTAAAAACAAAAGGACTGTTAACAGAGAATGAAGAGAACAACTTTAGAAAACGCTGTCAAGATTTCCTTATCTCATTATTGAGGCAGACTTCCTGAAAATCTAGATGTTTTGAAAAATATTTCACTTTTTTCTGTGAGTAACATACTTCAGCCAATAAAGGACATACCTAAATATTGTAAAATTTTTATGAAATTTTTAGGGGCTACTGATAATAGTGTCGCGGAAGCAGAATATCAGTTAACCAAAATAAAGTTAGCTGAATGGACAAACAAAACAGAAACTAAAGCGTTTTGGAGTGAAGTGAGACAATTTAAAGATGCCTCATCAAACAGTCCATTCTGTAAGCTCTTTAAAGTGTCATGTCTGCCATGATACTACCCCACTCAAATGCTGACGTAGAAAGAGTTTTCAGTGCTAGGAATTATATCAAATATAACAAAAAAAAAAAAAAAATGAAATTTGACCTCTTAAATGCTATCGTGCCATTAAAATTCGGCCTGATGAGACTAGAGAAATAAGCCTACTGTTCCACTTATGAGAAATTTGAACAGCTAAAGCATACCAGGGTCATTTTGGATCTGAAGCTTCAACTTCATTATCCAAGCTAAGTTTATCCTGTGGATCTTGTGAGGCAGACATCAGTGAAGGTGATGACATGGTTATGTAGTGTAAGTCATAACAAAAGCTATGTAATTTTTGACTTTTTCAATTTGGATGTTTTTTCTAGATCTTTTCCACGCAGATTGAGATCTTTTTAGATATTTTTTGACACCGTTTTGGATATTTTTTGTCAAAGAAAAGTGGCAACACTGCTATAAACTATACAACACCTCTACACCCAGAATCGATTGTCGATAACAAAACAATTTCTCTGTTGTTTATAATATTTTTTTCTTTTTACTTTACAAAGTGTTCCTGTGAGGATTTAATCTTGACCAGCAATGATGATCAGCCGAATAACTAACTACTGCAACTAATTAAGTCTTTGACACACACACACAGAACTGTACAAAATAACTCTAGACTAGCAGTAAAGTAAAGCAACTAAAAGATGGCGAACCCTATGTTATTGTGGTTTGTGGGGTACTCCAACATAACATCAATAGCAATAGTCACATTGTGTTTCGTAGCAATGACACTCTTTATAGGATTTATCAGGTGAGTGATTTGATGATATATGTTGCGTCTCTATTGATGTCTGTAGTTTTGTTTGGATATCATGTATACCAAAAAGCTTTTTTGGCTATCCTCTGTATTATTTAGTATTAATATAATGGCATCCGTCAGTCCCGGGGGACTATGGAGATGTGCCGCTGGCTTTGGGAACAGCATCTGCTGTGACTGTAAAGTCTGATGCGGGAATGGCAGCCTTTGCCACACAGGATACACACAAAAGCAGATACTACCTCGTTGTGAGGCAGTTTTACTCTCCGGTGTCTCCTCTCCACAGCTCGTTGTGTTCGGTTTCTTTCAAAATGTGACATTCCGTCTTTCACTTTCTGTCTCCATAGTAGTCGATCTGCAGCTGATTTTTCCCATATCTCTGTGCCTATGTTGGTATCTATTAGGTCACATTTGCATACATCTTTATAGCGCAGCTTTGGCCTTCCTGTAAGTCTATTCCCAGTTACCAATTCACCATATAAGGAGATCATTTGGAATACGACCACCCTCCATGCGGGAGACATGTCCCAGCCAGTGCAGACGTATTTGCTTCAGTATACAATACATTGATGGTATTTTTGCTCTTGTGAGCACACATTCGTTGGAGACAAGGTCTCGCCATAATATACCAAGGATGCGTCTCAGACAGCGCATATGGAAGGTATTCAGTCTTTTTTCTTGTGGAGCATAGAGAGTCCAGGATTCGCAGCCGTACAGTAATGTGCTCAGGACACAAGACTCATAAACCTTCATTTTTGTATTATCAGTTAGCTTTTTGTTTGACCAGACTCTCTTTGTGAGATTTGCAAACATAGCAGAGGCCTTTCCTATGCGTTTGTTTAGTTCTGCATCCAGAGAATGATTGCCTGAGATACGTGAGCCTAGCACTTAAACTCATTTACAGCCAGCAGCTGATGGTCATACACACTAATGTTTGGTGGATTTCCAACATTCAGTCCCATCACTTGTTTTTTGTTCAGACTGATGGTAAGCCCAAATTCTTTGCAAGCATTTGCAAAGCGATTCATCAGGATCTGCAGATCATCCTCTGAATGTGCCACAATGGCTGCATCATCCGCAAACAGAAAATCCCTGAGGCATCTCATGTGCACCTTCGTCCTTGCACGTAGCCTGGACAGATTAAAAAGATTGCCATCTGACCTCGAACGGAGGTATATCCCCTCAGTTGCTGTCCCAAATGCACGCCTCAATAATGAGGTAAAAAAGATGCCAAACAGCGTGGGAGCCAGAACACATCCTTGCTTTACTCAATTTTGAATCTGGAAGGGTCGAGATGATGAATCCTCATATATTATGGTCCCCCTCATATTCTCATGAAAGGATTTGATTAGGCTCAGTAGTATAGGTGGGCATCCATATTTTTCAAGGATCCCGAATAGACCATCCCTGCTGACATAGTCAAAGGCCTTAGTGAGATCTATGAAAGAAATGAGCAGTGGTCTCTGTTGCTCTCTGCACTTCTCTTGTAGCTGCCTGATGGAGAAGATCATATGAACTGTTGATCTCTGGGCCCTAAACCCACACTGTGATTTCGGGTATACTCTGTCCGCTAGAATTTGCAACCTCTTTAGGATAACACGAGCAAAGACTTTTCCAACATAATTCAATAGAGAGATACCGCGATAGTTGTTGCAGTCGCTTCTATCTCCCTTATTTTTATAGTGAGTTAAAATGTTGGCATCTCTCATATCCTGTGGCATCGATTTTTCTTGCCAACACTGACAGAGGATCTTGTGTAGCTCAGGAAGAATAGCATCCTTGGAGCATTTTAGGATCTCAGGTGGGATACCATCCTCTCCTGGGGCCTTCCCTGAAGGAAGCCCATCTACTGCCTCACCGATTTCTGTGACGGAGGGTTCCGTGTCTAGTTCACCCATGGTTGGCAGAAACTCCATTGCATTTAAGGCCTCTTCACACACAAAGGTGCTTGTAGCATATAGCTCTGAGTAGTGCTCCACCCAACGGTCCAGCTGCTTTGTCCGATCCTTTATTATTTCGCCCATGGTTGATTTGAGAGGGGCAATCTTTCTTTTTACTGGCCCAATAGCCTTCTTGGTGCCAGCATACATTCCCCTTATGTTGCCAGTAGCTGCTGAGGTTTGTATCCTCTCACAAAGTTTGATCCAGTAATCATTAGCGCAGCGCCGTGCAGTTTTCTGGACTCTAGACCGAATGGACCTGAGCACTTGAAGATTTCTGATATTAGGCTGGATTTTATATCCCAATAGAGTCTTGTTCTTCTCCTCTATTATTGGCAACTTTTTCTTCCTTGTGTTCCTCAAACCAGTCCAGTGATTTAACTTGCCTCTTACTGAATACGGACATGGCAGAATCATATAGGGCGTGTTTTAGATGTTTCCATCTGTCACTAGCATCCGCGTTTGGTGGGCCGGGCAGAGCTGTGCTCAGGATTTTTATGAATTCTCCTACTTTTCCAAGATTACGACTTTCTCCTGTGTCAATGCGGGGCTGTCCTAGCCTCTTTGCCCGATGTATTCTGCTTGGGATTAACTTCACTTTGCTGCACACAAGGGAGTGATCTGTGTCACAATCTGCACTGTGATAGCTGCGAGTGACCTTAACAAGATGAAGGTGACTGCGTTTAGTGAGGATGATGTCAAGCTGGTGCCAGTGCTTAAATCTGGGATGTCTCCAAGAGACCTTGTGCTGGGGCTTCAGATCAAAAAAGGTATTTGTGATGCAGAGGTTGTGAAGACAGCATAGCTCAAGCAGCCTCTGTCCATTTTCATTAATTTTTCCTACTCCAAAATGTATTATTAATGAACCCAAATTATCGAGGCCGAAAATATACCCTAACAAGGCCTCAGTCACATGTCAATTTCGGACTTCTGGCGACTTAATTTGCGGACTTCCGGCGACTACCGCCACCGCTGAAAATATCTCCTACGCCGCTACACGCAGCGTGGAGCGGGGATAAACTAGATGGCTGGGACTCACAAGCAGCAGCTACCGCATCTCCTGCAGATTCCTTCATTTTATTTGCTGGTGAGTCCCAGCCATCTAGTTTATCCCCTGCTCCTGTATTTATGGGTTTGAATGGTGAATTGTGTTGTGGTTTATAGCTAGGCTGCGATATCTACGCCTTTTTTTCAGTTGGTTTGGGGGTTTACAGATAGCGGCGACGTGATGTTGGTCAAGTCATGGGTAATCTTCGTTCGCCCTTGAGAGGGCGGTTGACACATTGTGTTGTGGTTTACAGCTAGGCTGCGATATCGGACCCAAACTCTTCAGTCTTAGGTAGTATAGTTGTAAGTATTCCGCCCTTCACGCGGTTGACCGCTGTTCAATTACCCACTGGGTGCACATTTTTCTTGTCCCCTCAAGAGGGCCGTTGGCACGTTGTGTTGTGGTTTTCAGCTAGGCTGCGATATCTGCGCCTTTCGCCCAAAGACATCCGATTTCAGTTAAGTCCCATTTAGCCTCCCCGCGACTCTTCACTCAATCATAAACTATTCGTTGATGACAGAAGCTGTTAACTAAGACGGCTTACAGTCCGGTTTAGTTTGGGTGGACACGGATGCCAAGGTCATTTAACAATCATCCCTTTGGAGAGGGGGAGATGACGGGTGCGGGTTTTTCCCCCCGCTATTTGTGAGGATAGCACAGACTATTACTGTAGGTTCCATCACTGGTTAGATGATGGAGTTTTTTTTTGTCTTTTTCTTTGGTGGGAGCTCAGTAACACTAATCAGTCTGTGACGACAGCATGCGGCACTAACTCCTCTGGCTACACCGACCTGCACAGACAGTAGTGACTGTTTTTCGTTGTTGTTGTTGTGAAGGTGGTGGTGGTACTGGTAGCAGTATTACTGGTACTGGATGGGTGATGTGGTAGCTGTTACACTGGCCATATTTACTTCTCAGTACACATTAATGCTACCCATTTTAGTCCGGGTGAACACGGATGCCAAGCTCAATTTAGTTACAATATTTCATCAGATGATGACTTTCCCATCCTTCGGAGAGGATGATATGATTAGTAGGGGTGGGGGGGGGGGCACCAGTGCCAGACACTGTTAGCTGAGAGCTATTTTCTTTCTTTTCCACTTCATCATTCTGTGCCACAGCAACGCGTGGCCGGGCACAGCTAGTCATAAAAACATGTGTTATTTATCATAAATACACATACATTCACAAAAAACACACACATTTTTCTCATCCTTTCCCTGAGTGTTAAGCATCAGCTAGATTCCCTGGTAACTCCTGCAGCACCATTCTTTTCAGACCCTAATGATCTGTTTGTGCCTTTGCGCTATTCATTCGCCCCCAAAGGGCTCTCACAACATCTAGCTTGTCATATATCAGTTCACCACCAACTGGTGCAGAACCGGCCAGTCTGTCTGCCTGCTCATGACCTGGAGAAAATATCCAATGGATGTTAATTACCCAGGACCTCTGAAGTGATGCTTGCCACTCTGCACTGAGTAAGCCTGTATTCATAGACCTTGAAAAACATTTAACATCTCTGATACCCCATCAAAGTCTCTATGTATCTGTTTTTTTGTAGGAGGGACAGCTAGCCAAATGGTATGCACGTTAGATTCTCATTCGAGAGCACTGTGTTCAAATCCTCGGTTCCCCATGTGGGTCTTGGGGCCTCATTTTGGAGGAAGAAAGAATAGACCCAGTGCCCCTCTAAAGGAGTTAAAGTGAAGAGGATTGAGTTCATTGCACTGGGTTTTATCTTTTATGGCTCAGTCTCTTTCAGCAGAATGGCTATCGGCCTGCTGAGAGCATTGCAAAAAGCACAACTCCTTAGCCTGGGCAACAATCTCCAGAAGTCACCATAAAAATTGCAATCGTGAAACAAACTGCATCACTGTCAATCCAACCCATGACCTTCAGACAGCTTGACCACTTCCAGACAGAGCCCCCCTCTAATAAGCATGTCATAGAAATTACTGACTAGGGGATGGCAGGAATCTGGTGTGTTGAGCTGAAAGATGCATATATCACAGCCTAGCTGTAAACACAGTACAAAGTGTCAACCGCTTTTTTAAGGTGAACGCAGAAGTTTCCTCTATGAATGTGAAGGATATTTTTTCTGTCTGGGGCAAAAATAAGACCAGCAGTTGTTTATGTTGCTATATATTCTGTGCAGTGAAGGTATTCAGTAAAGGCAGTCCAGAGAAGAATGCGGCGAATACTTTGGACTGCCAGAATAACTAACATTGATTGCCTGGAAATAGCTAATGAAAGTAGAACTTTATATTCAACAGTGAGAAGGAGACAAAGTTCTTTAGTTACATGATGAGAAAAGAAGCACTGGCTATTATCATGATGACTAAAAAGATCACTAGAAGAGGCAGAAGTAGACCAAGAGAAATGATTGTGGATGGCTTAAGACATTGGCATGGAGGGATATCATCAGTGGAATTGATCCAGAACACCAAAGACTGAGATCTGTGGAGATGCATAAACCCCTACTCCAGCTGCCAAGGCACTTGATGATGATGGTGATGATGATGATGAACCAGCACACTCCATGTTGACTGCACTAGCCATGTGATCCTAAATCCTCAGGTTCAAGACATCCCTATTCCCACCCCGTCCTTCACCGCCCTAAAAATGGTACACAGAGGGAGTAAAAAAGTTTCTTTAGCATATTAATTCATCATCTTTTTGTCAACTTCTTCAAGAAACAACCACACTTTCACATTTATATTCTGTAAATAAATGGATTGTTACCAGATTTCCCTGTCTCCTTTGATCAATGGTATGAGCACACTCTCACATAGACATGCACACTTGTGTGCAGATATGGGTGTTTAAGTAAAATTTAGGAGCGATTGAACAGTGCGGAGGCACAGATATATCATTATGGTCTGGAGAGAATGGCGCTGCGAGGAGTTACAAGGGGATCTTGCCGGCGCTCAACACTCAGTTGAAAGGCGAGACGGATATACAGTCAGACAGTTACTGGTGCCATCGGAATTGGAACTCTTCGCTTGCTGCTGAAGATGGGTATAGAGCACTTATGGGGGTGTCCCGAGTGCTGTGATGTTGATTCTTAATTCAACTTTCAGATAATCACATATTTGTAACACATTTATATTTATTCACTCACTGATGAAATATTTGCTTTCTGTATTCAGTATGAATGGTGACACACAAGGTCAGTCTAATGTTCATATTGGCATAGAGGAGACGAACATGGTTCAAATGTCCAACCCATTTTTTCTTGAGCTTCAGCAGCCCAGCAGAAAACTTGCAGGTCAATAATTTTAGTTGTCTTCTTAAATATTTGCATGCTCTACCCAAATTGATCTGTGTTAGGTTACAAATATTTGAGTTTCACCCATCACCATACTGATTTTTTTCACTAATTGTTTAAAGTCGCTTTCACTGAATGTTAGAAATACACAGTTAATTGGAATGATGGATACACTTTCACTCAAGTATAATTCCTTGAATTTACATTACATAATAATAATAAACATGCAAGAGAGAGAGGGGAAGGTATAAAGTTTTGGTTATTACCGCTAAAGCAGAGCTGCGTAACCAGCCACTCAAGTGATTATACTCGTGCCACCAAGGACCCTTCAGATGCTTCTTCCTGAGTGGGATGAGTTTGGCTACCTCTTAGCTGTTTGCTGAGCAGCAGACAGCGGCCATTTTGAACATCTATAACCTGTAATCTGTATTTGTAAACTGTAGACCTGACCCTCTCTCTTGTACTATGTAATATATATTCAAGGAAATATACTTGAATGAAAGTGTATCCATCATTTAAAATAACCATGCATAGTACTGAATGTTACATTGAATCAATTCTGCTGTATCACAGGGAATCCATGGAATGTGAATGAACAAATTCTGAAGATAAAGGGCAGATGAAGTTTCTTTTCATCTTCTTCATCTTCTTCATCTTCATCATTATCTTCTTCTTCTCCTCCTCCACCTGCTCCTGCTGCTGCTGCTCCTTCTTCTTTTCAGCCTTCCTGTCAGTGATTTTCAGATGAGACCACAGGCCTGTATGAAGAAGGTTGTGCATCGCATGTCTACCACTGGTTGTGTTGTTCGTCCATCACAAATAATGAAGACCAATTTCATCCAAAGTTTAGCTGGATGAAAGTGACTTGCGCAAGGACATGGATTTAAGTGAGGAAGAGTTGCGTAATTCGTTGACCTCACTCTATCACTTGTGTCCATCTTGATCCAATGGCCGGACAATGTCTAGACGATTGGAAATGAACCTAGGTGCAGTGGCTGATCAAGGCATCTCAAGTTCCCTTCCTTGCTCGAAGCTCTCCACAGAGCTTGCTGGTAAATGCCTTCTTGTCCGTTGAACCAATAGGAGGTTTCATCCGCAAAATCGGCCAAGTCCAGTCTTTGCATGCAGGGTAGCTACCAATAGGACATATAGGAATACTAACTGCTCAGTACACGTCTGCAAAACATTTGTATTTTAAGATGCCTGTCCATATAGCCAAAGTTCCGAGTCTCTTATCTTACATTTCCTGTACATATAGATGCAGAGTCGCATTTCAAGTACTACCATCTGTTGCTTGAATATGAGGAGGTTGACTAGGATTGTGTTTCAGATGAGAATTGTTCCAGTTGATTCTAATTGCTGGCTTGATCCAGGTTTCTGTTTCCCTCATAAGAGCATCTTGCATCTGGCTCTTCTGTGCTGCTCCCACTTTTCACCAAGTAATCTGCTCTTTCATTTTCTTGTAATGTTACAATCGCTTGGGATTATTGGAGAACAATCTGCACTGTCAGCTAACCCATTTGATTCAATACAGATTTAATCTTGGCGACCTATAATTGCTTATGTCTTTTACAGAAAATTAAAACTGGTGTCCTGCCCGCAAAGTGGATAAGACCTACATCAAGAGTATATCATGGGTTTTCTGTCTAGGATATTCAGGTGTACATGCTAACAAACAGGCTGATAGGTTAGCTGCTGCCGATTCTCTGGGCTGTGAGCTACTGTATTATTAAGCTGATGTAGTGAAGGCTGTATAGGATTTGTATGGTTCTGGAAGTTATTCAACAGTGAAGGGGAAAAAGGTGGACTTTTAATCAGGTTGTAACGGGTACTGTAAGCCTGTAAACTCTTTGTTGGTTACTGAAAAAGGGGACGGAGTATGTGTGGGTATGTCCTGAGTGCAGAGATGTCAATTATTGAGTCATTCACTCATTGCTTGCAATACAGAGCACAGGCATGTTGTTATCCTGTATCCTCCCACTTACATTGATGCTAACCTGTTGCTCACCTGCCTTCAACTTTTCCCTCCAAAATGGTTTTCATAAGAGAACCATGTCTTTCAGTGTGGCCAGAATAGTTTGTCTCTCTCTTTTTTTTAAATATAATTTAATTTGTCTTAACAACTACTTTTTAATTACGGTAAAGTAAAGATCCCTTTTTACGTCTTAGGCGCATCAGGCATATGGGAAGAGACCTATATTTTTACGCACCAGTCACCTTTTAATTACAATTTACATATGAAAAGGTGACTTTGAAACAATTTCCTTACAGATGGGCTAGACCTGCGACTGTCCAGTTTGCTACCAAGCAAGATCTTTGTTCTGTGGGGTGCCAAGATTCATCCATTTCATGACTTGATTCTTCAGCCTGGCCGACATCTTCAGAGAACATTTGTCTGTGATAACTTTGAGGAATACAGAGATCTAGATATTTTGCACTGTGATAAACTGGAGTGAGTGTTTGTTATAACAAATGTATTGTTCACTTACTGA